CTTCTTCCTCTATTTCTGATCAAATATTTTCTTGTGTTTGTTCTATGATTTTTGTATTCCTCACAACTTCTAAGCCTTCAAGTGCTGAAGGCCTAGCCAGCACATGATCTTAGTGGCTGACCAAAGGGCTATTTTATAAAACACAAATTCGCAAGTCAAATAATACTGCATTATGTATTTACTTGAGAACTCAAAGTTTTCAAAACTCGGTAATGCCACTAAAGTRCCAAAACTCATTGTATGTGAGGTATGATGATGACAAAGAATTTCAACAAACACAAAGCATAAATAATAACTAATTTCCTCTTTGAATTAAACTTGCATGAATTTGTATTAAAAAGTTGTATTAAGATTACTGTCTTGATCTTTTTAGTATAAAATGCCTTTGGTAACATGGTAATTCCACATAATTAAAATGTGCTTTGCATTACACATTTGTCCTGGAGATGCGGTTTTATCGTGTGCAGCTAACTCAAAAAGGGRAATAATTTACACTGTCTGTTTTCAGAAAACAAAGATCATATTTTACAATATCCTCCCACTGTTTTTCTCAGGAGTCAGCCAAGAAGTCAAACATTGGCACATGTTTTAAAGTTGATCCTCATTTCTTGTCAACTACATCATCATTTAAATGCTAAAATTCCATTTTAACTGAAGAAAAAATAGCCCTGCATTGACATGTCTCAAGGTTTTCAAGTGACTGATTCTCAGCAAGACAAACAAAACACACAAACTCAAAGCACCTAAATTTTGTTGTCTTCAAAATAGTTCTTAACAGATTGAAATGTGTTTGAATTTATGCCAGAAATTGATATGAACCATTTCATCTTCAGATTTGTTAAGGAAGTGCCTTTGCAGCTCTCTCAGGATAAAAKTTATGAAAGAATGCCTCTCATGGAAAGTAGATAAAAAGCCACACCTTGCTCATTCCATTTTTCATATCATGTAAATTAGATTATCAATAGCACTATATCATAATTAAAAACCCTAAACAGCATCTGAAGTGCAAAAGTTAAAGTATTCTAGTGTAAATAAATGCAAATACATGAGGAAATGTAAACTTCTAAACATATATACATAGAACTAAGTTTTATATATGTGAGCCTACATGTGTATTATTTATATACAAATCTGCCATATAAAGATACAGAAATATGGAGGTTCTATACATATATACACATACACACATAAATGTGTCTATACACTTGCACACAGTATTAACATCCTACCCAGGCCTACATACGCTCCACTCCACACACTCTAAGAAGTTGATTTCCACTAAATGTAAATTTTGAGCAGGAGTAAATTAAGCGGGTGTATAAACCCGCACAGAGTAAGGGTCATAATCATCTCAAATCAGGTATGCCCACATTACCATGGAAGAGGCTCCCTATAAACAGATCATCTGACTCTGATACTGAAGATAAGTCAGCAAAATCCTAAAAATAAAGCTGTGTGCAAGAGGACTGCTTAAATATTTAACAGCACACCACAGAAACAGCGTTGGTTTTAGCAGTCTAAGATGACAACCATAGAGAAAAACAAAACCACAATTTCTCATTTTTACATACTGCTTCAACAGTCCAGACCAAACAAAGTTTGGAAGAAATCTGTTAGCTGGTTGGCCACTACTTTACAGACTCAGAGAAATTTGAAAATAGTTAAGATTTCAATATAATATTTTACACAACGTGGTCTCCTGCTTGATTGCGGTAAGCAAATACCTCCTTCTTATAAAATCATGAGTAGGCAACACTTTACATCATTTCAGAAAAAGATAAAATCATGAATCTACATCAAACAAACAGTTACTTCGTAACAGTTCCAGATAACACATTTTTTTTAAGTCTCTGCCAGGATACCAAAYAACTTTGATTATGCAAATCATCCCATGAAGTTTAGTGAAACAATGCATGCCAGTAAAATCATGCATACAGACATAATTGCAGCCTTAAGTTTAAAATGGAGACTAAACAACATACAAATTGCTCTGCAGGGTGGAGGACGTAGAAGCCACCACTTAACAAGAAAAAAACAAAAACAAAAAAAACCCCAAACAAACCAAAGCCTATCTTTCTTCCAGTTTTCCCTTTCTTTGAGGCACTTCCCTCTCGACAGCCTTGGGAAAGCAGACATTTCAGCTCCAAGAAACTGAGACTAGAAGAAAGTTCCTCATTCACGTGTACCATGCAGAGAAGCAGCTAAATGATGCTCTCTTTCATGCAATCAAGAAACTGCAACTAATTAGCATTCAAAATTTGTATATCTGTACTTACTCAAGTAAGTTTGACTGAGCACAGGTCAGCACATTTAGTTTTCTTTACACAATGGTACATTGCAAGGAAACGAGGTTTAAAATCACATTTATAGTAAACCCATTAAATTAATAAACTACTCAAGCACAGTAAACAGAAACAATGAGTACAACTATCTTAACTCTTCCATTATTGCTAGCACAATAACTTTTGAATGGTGAAATATGAAAARTATTTAAGCTGTTTCAGACATATGTGACCAACCAACAGGTGTTGACCTAGCTTTGAAAAAAAAAATATGGTAACATGAAAGAAAAGGGTACACCATTCTCCAGAATTTAATTTTTAAAAAGCAGATAGCCATTTCTTAAAACATGAAGAATGAAAAATTTATAAATAATAATGCATATTTTATACTTTTTTGAAAACACTTCGTTAGTTGCTCTTCAACAAAAAAGAAGTCCCATTATTTAGTGACATTCAGACTGATGATCTACAAAGAGATGTAAGGCAAAGCAATCAACTTTTAAAAACAAAATRAAATCCCTGCCTGAAATAATTTGACCTCAGTAAAAACAAGGGGGGAAGAGGAAGACAATTTTTTTCTATTATAGCCGTCCTGAATATTTAGGCTAGCTTTTTTCTCCTTTCTAATCACTATGACACTTTATGCATGTTTGTGGGAAAGGACCACGTAAAAGTAAAACTTAACTTTATTATACAATAAAAAATTAACGAGTGTTACAACAAAGAAATCGGAAAAGGCCAAGGCAGCGGAGGCTCCAGCAGAAGCTCAGCTGATTTCAGCGTATTGCGCGAGTTTTACCCAAGTGCAGGTGAACTGCGCCGGACGATGTTGCCGCTCCGGAGGAGTTGCGGTGAGTGCCACCCCTGGGGGCAGAGGGGGCTCCCCACTCGCCCGCCCCGTGCCCCACGGCCGCCCGGAGCAGCYGCTAGCCAGGGCTGACTCAGTGCCCTCCCGCCCCGCGGCCACCTGCCAGCTGCCGGGGCTGGCCCCCAGCGCCATCCGCACCGCGGACCCCTGGCTCCAGTCCCCGGCGCAGCGCCCGCCCCCACGGCCCKGCAACGTCCGGCGCCGGGCACGACCGGAGCGCCGCGGGGCCCCAGCCGCGGCCGGCGGCTCTGCCGGGCTGCCCGGCACAAGGAAAGGCGTGCGAAGCGCGCCGCTTTGAATCCTGGGCTGTCGGGGTTGGCTTTTCCTTGTTACTGTTTGCCTTTTTTTTTTCTTTTTTTTTTTTTTTTTTTTTTTAAAGTGGAAACTTTGCTTTCCCAGCAGAGGCCGGGACAGCGTGAGCTGCCCCGGGGCGCCGCGCTGCCATCACAGCTGACAGCTTTTTGTGCCCCGCGCCCCCCATTCCGCAGCACTGAAAAGCAGCGGATAGATCCGGCCGGAGTTTGTTTTTAATAACGGCTTTCAGTTCGCACAGCTACTTACATCCCCTGCCAGCAAAATAAAAGTCATGCTCGCATGCGAGCATCCCGCACGGAACCTCCTCCGCACCAGGGTCGTGGGGGCACGGCAGAGACAAGCAGGGCGCCGCGGGGAAGGAAGCGGGACCGTCGGCAGGGAAGTCGGGATGGGTTTCGGTTATCCCCGGAGCAGAGCCGCCGGGAAAAGAAAGTTCACAGCCAACAACTGCGCCCGCGGGCAGAGGGTCCGGGATGGCGGGAGGGGGCTCRCTTTAGGGCCTTCTTACCTTCTGGTCTACGATGGAGCAAGCCATTTCCCGGACGTGGGCGAGGCTGAAGTCCCCCGAGGAGTCCTGCAGCARCAGCACCGGCTCCCGGCTCAGCCCGATCTGGAGGTGGAAGGCGATGCCGCCGCCGGCAGCAGCCCCCGGCGGCGGCAGCGGGCTGGGCGGCCGGATCAGCGGAGGGGCGCTCATCGGAAACTTCCCGCCGAAGCCGCCGCCGGAGCCGAGGAGTCAGGGACGGAGGGGCAGAGTCGGGTGCCGCCGCGGAAAGTTTGCGGCCGCCCCGGAGGCGCCAGGCGAGTTTCCCCGCGAAGTTTCAGGAAAGTCCCGTCGAGCTCCTCCCGGGCGAAAATGGCGGGGGGGTGGGGGGGAGGACCGGGGAGGATGCAGACAGGAAAAGGCGGCGAGAAAGACGCGCGGGGGGAGCCCGGCCCAGCGCCGCCGAGGTGGTGCCGCCGCTCGGGCTGTTGGCGCCGTGCGCGGCGCGGGGGCGGGCCGGGCCGCGCCCTCCTCCGGGACGGGCCCACGGCCAGCTGGGCCGGGCCGGGCCGCGCCGCTCCGCCACCAAACGGCGGCCGCATTCTGCCAGGCGGCCCGGGCGGGACTGAGCGCAGCAGGGTCGGCTGGTTCCCCGTGGGGGAGCTTGGCTGAGCCGTCTCTGGTCTCCCCACCTGGCCCAGCTGCGGTACTGGCGGAGGTGAGAGCCTCCTCCKCCCCCGTGATCCCCGTTGGGCAGTACCTCAAGAGGCAGGTGGAGGCAGAGCCTAAGGAGAGTGGGGATTTCCCTTGATGGCAGGCAGCAGGGTGGCCTTCTCCGGGCAGGCTGGCAGCTGCCCCCGAGGACGGAAAGCAATGCCAGGGGAGCGGGAGCTCCCATCTGGCTCCGGCTTTTCTGCCCGGCCTCGGCCGGCCGCTCCGGTCAGCATCGTGCCTCCGCCTCCAGCAGTCCCCGCGGGTTTCGGGAGGAAGCACGGGACAGCTCGCACCCATCTCTTCTCTAAACCAGGTTCCAGTTTCAGGTACAGTCTGTGTTAAGGAGGAGCACCCTGCCACCTAAAACTAGGATGAGTTACTCTTCCTAGCTCTTGGGGTCATTGCAAGCCYCATCCGTTTGCACAAGATGCCCCGATGGCGGGGCAACACTTAATTTAAAAAAACCTCCTTTTGAAAATGTGCAAAGGCAGTGGAAATGTGAGCTGCAAATGTTTAAAATACCAATGGAAAAACTCTTAAGCTAGGTATATATGTCACCTGTAGGGATGACTACTACACGAATGTTTGGAAATACAGTGGCTGGTCCGGTTTACAACCTATTTAATTGCAAACTTCTTATTTTGACCAAAATTTACATCTGCAGTGTTGTTTTATTTGGATCCTGTCATAGTAGGACATACTGTTGTCAGCTTGTTTCCAGCCTGGGAAGTACTGTAAGCATCCCGTATTCCTGTGGCCCAGCTAGCTTTTCTATGGGAGAAACATACCAGAAGATCCTGCAGCTCTGCTTCATTGTTGAATCTGAGGTTCAGAGTGGACACCCTTAATTCCTGAACTGATGAGAGCTTAGGTGTGGCTAGTTCAAATCTTTGACTCAGATGTGGTTAACTGCTCCTATTTAAAGGATGTAAAAATACCTAAAGCATTCAACAGGACCTAAAGCACTCCCTTACACTTTTGTKTCTTCATTCTCTGTAAATCATTCAGTAGTAAATCATTCCAGCTCAATTCTACCTTGATTTTCCTTTGTATGTTTCATCCATATAGTAAAAGAGTGAACCTTGCCATCAGATGTTTAAGTTCTGCTTTTACAAATTCATATTAAACCAACTTTTTCTGTTGCATTTGGTGGCAATTCTTTAAGCAACCTAAACCATTCATTCAATGCGGAGCTCTTATGAAATTCATCAGATAACCAGAGCAGAGGTAGAAGTAACAATATTGAGAATTACATGTCCTTGGTTTTCTCACTATGTGAAATCGAGTGATAGAGCTTGTGTCATGTCTTACCTGCAGCTCCACACCCTCTGTACAGACAGACAAAGGTTTTTCTTCAGAAAGAAAGGTTGCACTATTTTTTAGAAGTTGTAGGTTGCTGAGTTGTTTGTTTACTGTTTCAGCTCTGTTGAATACGCGTTTGTAATCAGAATAGATGACAGCAGGATTTCTTCTGCGCTGTGTCAGCCAGTCATATACAAATGCCATTTATAAAGGGATTCAGTGGAACCACATGATGTGATCCTGAGTACAACCTGGCCTGTTGTACTTACTGAAATGTCATTTCATGATCCTTCCAGATCATGGAATTGTTGTGCTGATGCCAGGGAAGGGGAAAGGCCATTCACAGCAATATCTCGCCTCACACAGTGTGCGTGCCTGGTTGCTAATCTGTACGTGCACAGGTGGAAAAACCACTGGAAGGTTTCATTACATCTGTACAGATAGTTCAGCAGCACATGAACTGCCACCTTTAACTTGCAGGGATAAAAATGAGCTTGCCACACTTGAATACTTGACCCTCCACTTCGATGTGTTTCTGAACCTGTTATCTTCTTTCAGCTTTCTGCATTGTGGAATTCTGTTCTATTCATTGGGAGTGAGTAACATCCCCTTCATGAAGTTATTATTCTGCTCTGCTTTTCTCTATCTGTGATGTAAGTGGTCCTTTTTTGAACAGGCAGTTGTCCATTTATCTTTCCTCTTTTCACACAAGCGATTTTATGGCTCATATGTTTTAATTAAAAAAAAAAAATCAAACTTCCAGCAAAGACTAATACCTAATATGCCTAAGCACTGGAGAATATTCTTTAAATTAGTTTCTTTGACCTAGATGGTGGTTATTTCTGGGTTAAAGTTGTTGACCTAACATTTAGTTCCTGTGTGTTTACAAGGAGAGTAGAACACAAGTAATTACGAGAGGTTTTCTACTGCTTTTGTGAGGCAGATAGTGGACTATCATACCTCATTCTGTGATCGGTGTTTTGAAAAACAGGTTGCTTGGCAATACGCTCAATAGTATAGCAAGGCGAAAAGGATAGAAGAAAAGCAAATAAAAAGAGTAAGAAGTAGTYCCTGGAAACTGGATAGAAAGCAAGACTCAAATTCAAATTTTTACTGTGAAAACAAGAGTCATTGGAATGAGTAAGCTGTAAAAGTGACAGGTAACCTTTTATGATGTTTGCAAATTTAGACCGTTTACTCACAAGCTTATTGGGCTCAGTACTGGGGTAACTTCTTTGGTTTCCCAAGGTCAGAGTGGAAGATCTCTGCCTTTAGCTGTTTGTTATGTTCCTAACGGGATCCAGAAAAAAACAGACTGCATGAATTCAAAGATGTAAAGATAGTAATTTTTYTTTCTCCCTTGTGAGAAATGTATCTTTTCTCAGAAGGAAAGCATCATCTGTCTAGGATGAAAGTGATTTGGCATAAATCCTTTATGCCTTGACTCACTTTTGTATCGATACCTCTGCTGGACTCCATAAGCAGTTCAACACCGAGTAGGAGCATGTGGAAGAGTAATTTTCAAAGTCACTCCTGAAAATAACAAATTTTTATCCTTGAAAATTTATCTCTTCAACATGCAGCAACAGATCAAATGTTAAAGTAGGCAAAGACACTTTGTTGCAGAATCAGGCCAATACCAGTTTTTGCATTCTGACACTAATTTTTTTGTTTCCCTCATCTTACGCATACCTGATCTACACACACACCTCTATGCTAGAGCAGAAACCTCCAGTTTTACAAGGAATAGCTCTCATGTCTAGACGTGGTTTACATATTCTTTATACTTACAATTAGTTTTTAATATTGAASATTCAGCCAAATCTGTTTATGTTAAGAATATGTGAAGTCATCCTATTTCTGCAGTTGAATACAGGCTGTGGTATTTGCATTCTTGCTAAGCAGCAAAATGTGCTTTATTGAAAGACAGGCCTACAATAGTGAAAACCTTTTTTTCTGCTGTTTTCAGATGCTGAAATGATGTTTAAAGTGGACTGCATGCTCCTGTAATTTCTCTTCTGAAGCAAAAGCACAGCACTGAAAACAAATTAACCAGGAAAAAAAAAAAAAGAGAAAAAAAATCAACTAAATCAACTAAATACAATGGAATGAAATTTTGGAAGAAATATGTCGACTGTGATGGAAAGTAAAAGGATACTAGAGTTGGAAATGCAGATGTTGCTGGCTCTGGGATTGGTATTGTGTTAGGTCTGAACTGGTAAGTAAAATGGAGCTGGTATCTGAAATGCTGACAGCAYAGTTTCATAGATTAGCTCCAGAGTATTTATTTGGACAGAAGAAGCAGATGTTAGCTGTACAGCTGGTTAGGGATTTTCTGACAAAAATCAAATGACCTTACTTATGACCATAATGAAAATTATGACATTTCAAGATCTAAATGTTTGTTGTGAATACTGTCAGTAAATCTCCCAAATTTTKGTTTGTTGTTTTGGTTTTGTTGGGGTTTTTTTAAGAATATTTCCAATTGTTGAAAATGCTTCAGCATTTCTAACAGGAAAGGAATATTATCTTCCATGAATTTCTGCTAAATGTTATAGATTGTTAGGACAAAGTATTTAAAAACAGTGAGCTTCAAAATTCAGAACTCAAGTTTAAAAATCTTGTACAACTCAATGTGATATTTTTACAAATTAATCACAAAAAAAATCTGATTTTCACATCTTATTCGTGTCTTGGAAATGGAAGTTGAGGTCTGGTTTAGGCTGGCAAAACTGCTYGCTGACTATGGAAGCTTATCACTGGGCAAACTGATCATGAACAAACTGATCATGGATATGCAAGGGAGATCACACTAAAATAGAATCTGAAATATGGCAGGATAAAGCATTTTTATGTCAAGTATCTGTATATTCTGTTTCTTTGAGCAAAAAGTGAGCTGCTTTGAGGGGGAAGAGGTTTATTTTTGTTTTTTTTATTCTCTGYTTTTTTTATTATGCTCCAAACTGACCTCACTATACTTGAAAAACTGGGATAGTGCCGGCTCTGTTTATCACAAAGTGTGCATTGAGGATGTTTGTTATGGCTTGATAAAATAATTGATGCATTCAGATGTCATTGTCTGTGCATATCTATACAAATTGTCCTCACTGGTTCTCTGGTTCTTAGGAGCGCAGTGTGCCTGGAACAAAATGGTCATTGCTGCTTAAAACTACTCGGACACATTTCCCATTATGGCGATCCTGGAGTGAGGTGGTCATTGTGCCTGRAGGAAGACACAGGACAGCTTTAATTCAGTAAATTCTTAATGCTACTTCTTAGGTGATTTGTGAGTTGGGTATCCTGTGTGAAAGACACTTCTTTTTTTACTTACTTACCACCATTTCRCTAAACAGTCCTAAATGGTACTGTCTTCCAGTTCTACAGTGACCTGAAATCTCTGGGTCCAAGAGCTATATACTTTCTAATACTGTATTATAATAAGTATTTCCTCTTCAGAAATTATTGCATGATTTTCACTTTTTAAATGGACATAATTTTCAATAAGCATCTAGTGTGTTTGCTGCATTTTGGTAATTTTCTTGAAACTAGATTGATAATTCCACTAGTAAAATATGTATGCTCTTGAAAATCAAWTATACAGTATTTCAGTTATTTTTTAAATTATTATAGCATATTTCTTGTAKTACTGTTAGCTAATTAATATGTACAAACATAACCAATTTACAAACTTTGTTCTTTTGCACATCAAGAGGATATTACACTGTTACTTAGCACTGATATTTTTGTGGCTACTCTCCAGGCCTCTGTGTCATTATCATTTAAATTCTTCATCAGTTCAAAAGGGTTCATTAGGTACTGGGAATGAAAATAGCATCACTGCAGAATCAGATATGCGTGTTGTAATTGATATATGATTTTGACCTGTAGGAGTGGGTGTCATTGTCACAGTATTTCTGTAAGCAGGAAGAAAAGAGTCTGTTAACTATCCATCAACAGTTGTGTCCAAAGCTTATGGTGTAAAAGTAGAGAACAAGCAGAGTGGCCAAGAAAAAGTAAGGATAACAGAGTCTTATTTGTGAGCTAAGCAATGTTGACAGTGCAGAAAGTACATAGATTTACATGCAGTTTTAAAATTGAGCTAGAAATTTATCTAACTGCTAGATATTTCTGAAACGATTACTGCATTTCTGCTCTGATATTTAAAAAGGTTCTAACTGAGCTTGTCAGGTTGGTTAGTCCCACTATGAAAACTATAGTTTTAATATACTTTTATGTGGTTTGATATTTTTGTTTGATATTTATATGTTTACAACATTTTTTGGACAATATAATTTGAATAAATTAAATTGTGGTTAACCTAAATTATTTAATGATTGTTGCATGAATGCTGAGACCACACACAGGTCGAAGTGAAACTTAGGTGGGATTGTTGAGACAAAGATGTAAGACAATCAATAATCACCACTCCTGTATTCTTAAGTGTGAGTTTCCTCACTTGTAATGATTTAATGAGTTGTAAGACTGCCTATAGGAACAGGGAATCAATAGATTTCTTGCCTAAATTATCATTGATCTTTTAATATTTATTGATGTTGGTTACTGCTGCTGCTTTGGTTGCACTGCATGACACTGAAAAGCCAGASCTAAGAATAGTGTTATGGGGGAAGCTAGTATTTTACACAGGAGGAGAGAGGATGAAGGAGTGGAATGATGTGGGGAATAACAGGGAACTTGTAGAAGAGAGGAAGGTAAAAATGGAAAGAAGAGTCATGGGAAAAACTTATTGCAAGGAGTATTACATTTGGACATCATAGTTTCTTACTTAAAAATGTTCAGATTTAAAAATTTGACCCTAACAGTTGAGCAGACTCTTTAGTTTTAAGAAAACTAAAACTACACTTTCATTTACAGTCACTGCCTTGCAATGTTAACTTTACCTTATCGTAGCTTTTCAGTTTGSAGTTCAAATTAAGAAACATTTCATTTTAATTTTCAGCCAATAAAAGACTAGTAAACATGCTATGTACTGTATGAACACTAAAAGTTGTTCCATAAAAGCCTTGTAAATAATGAAATTTCACTCCTACACCAATTGCATCACATATTTATTTAGTATAACCTCATAGAACTAAATACACACAGAAGACAAAACTTCAGTTCTGATATCCTACTCCAACATAAAAAAAACCCAACTACACATAAAAAAGACTTAGTTGGTGAATTTCTTCATGTAATAAAAGGCCCTTTCATTTAAACTGTAATTTAGGCTTAATCACACGGAGAAAAAACTGTATCTTTTCCCTGTCATAATAGACAAACATCTCAACATGAAGCCCTACACAATGCTGCAGCATTGTCACCCTGGGTTATATAAACAAGGAAATCATAAGATAGAGTAGAAAGACATTTCAAACAGATTTCTAGCTGTGTTTGATTATGCTTAAATTTAATGGATCTTGACATGATGAAGCATGTCAAGAGGGTCTTAAAAGTAACGTGATTAAAATAATGTTTTTCGGAGATATAAAAGAATGTAGCAATGTGAAATTAGACAGAAGTATAGGTAGACAAACAGAAGAAAAAAAAGTACATAACTAATCTGATCTTGGTCATGGTTTATATTATGCAGAATAAAGGATTTTTAGGGAAAGAAAATGACATTTTAAAAAACTGCACATGAAAATCAAACACAGAAATAAGTGACATTTTTTTTCATTTCTCCCCTTGGAGTTTCACAAAGAAAGTGGACAAGTTCATGTGTGATATCTTCCAAACATGAGAGGAAGATTTTCTGARAGTTATACATTTGGTTCTACACATTATTAGGTTCAACAAGAAAGCATCAGGCTAACATGAGTCTGTTTTGTAAACACAAGATAATATATTTGTCTCTGGAATCTAGAGGTTGATAAGGCAGATTTGATTCTCATTTCTCAAGAACTTACCAACAATTTTCTGCTAACTCCAGAACTAGAAGACAAAAATAGAGAACTTGACTGTTTTGCTAGTGTCCATCTCTGGTAGAAGTATTATCTTTCTAACCACCTAAAACCTGTTCTGTCAGGTTTTTGGGAAGTTGGTTTTTTTTTTTTGTATTCTAAGTATGGAACCCAGTGCTCTAATTGATTTTTCCTGGGTAGAAAGTGTAGAAGGCTTCATTGTATTCTTTGTGTGCACAGAGGTCCAATTGTAGACTTTAAAATCCTTTAAGAATCACAACTCCTAGAGAAGGAAGCATAAAAAGAAGCCTGGAGAGCCTAAAGAATTTTTCATGTAATCTTGAGACACAGTAAAGTCATGGAAAGCAATGTACCTAGTATCATCATATCCCTCAGGCCTTTGGTGTTTTTCCTGCTGTGCACTGTTCACTCCCCTACATTCCATTCYTTCATGTTTTCCTCAAGGCTGTCCCATTTGTGAATAGGTAATAGGACCATGAGCAGCTCTGCACTACTGGACAGAGAGCAAAGGAGAATAAGATTGGTCATTGCTAGGATATGAAATATGTTTTGAGCTGCAGAGATGCCATTGACTGCACTGACTGCCATGTGTTCATTTGCTTTTGAGATGCGTACCTGCCGTTAAAAATCAACCTATGTGGAATCTATTCCTTCTGAGTAGAATTAATAAAATCAAAGTACCATTTTGAATATGGTGTTTATCCTCAGGGGGAAATTTGCTGTGTCTTCGTCTCTGGTACCACAGTTACTGGAGGCTCAGCTGATAAAGGAAAGAAAAGGTCATCTTTGGTGTGGTTCTGCAGGGTAGCAGGGCCCATATAGAGAAAGATCAGTGACAAAGCTAGAGCTCATGCTACAGGATGCTGTWCTTCTTTTAGCAGGTGTCCCCTGAGTCAGGCAGTTTCCTCTCTGTAAACTGTAGGAGGTGGAATTTGGTGTGTGACTGCAGATGATCAGAAAATCTGTTCTTCGGGTGGCCACCTCAAGTGTCCCTGTCACGTGATAGCACAGCTGTGTAGGACAACATTAGAGATAAAGAAAAGATTGCTAAATGTTTTACACTAGAATCTTGAATGTCTTTCTGTTGTTTTTTTAGCCTGATTCTGAACAGCTTCAGAATTTTTAAAACATTCTTAGTCCCTTAAAAATGAAAAAAAAAGAAAAAGAGCAGTTAAAAACTGATAATACACCTGAATCAAGGTGTATATTTGTAAATATGTATCCTTAATATCAAAARCATAATGATGCAATGCTGGGCTGGCAGAGAAATGCTGCTGTGGTGCATAGGGGTCAGTTGTACTGGCACAAGAAAATGCTATTTGTTAAGAATTACTTGTTTCAGTAAGTAAACTATAGCCAACTTTGCAGCTCATAGCACAAAGAAGGATTTAGCTTTTTCCTGTATTACTGATCAGAACTAAGAGGAATCTTCCATAACCACTGTGGTGTTAGAGTTAGTTTTCATGYATTATGAAAGCAACACATTCTAGGAAGCTGCTCCAAAGCTCCTGAAGAAAAGCCACTTCCAGTTTCARTTTAATTCACAAACTGTTGAATTATTTGAATTATACAGCTGGAAAAGGATCTTTGTTTTCAGAAGTTGGATCAATCTAAATATAGGGATTCAAGCTTTTCTGTGATGTGGACAGCTAGCATATGCTTGTGATTTAATTGTTCCTATGTGCTACACGTTTTATTTAAATACTCTTTGTCCCTTTGTCATCACAATATTTTCATACAATAGCTATGGGTCAAGCTAAAGAGTCATTTTTTGTGTTTCTAAAATTAAGAAAAAAAATCCATTTCCTTCATATTTTTCAAATCTACTCTGAAGACAAATCTTTGCTGAGGAAAACAACAAATGTACTTCACTGGTTAACTTACAGTATTAGAGTAGCAATATATTTTTTAATTCTTTAGAATTCTATGTGTTCATCCCATGTACACCACTATTCTTGAAGTGTATTTTTACAGCAGCTTTGCAAAGCAGAGCAAGACTATTATTTTGATATTGAGTGCCATGGAATGAAGCATCTTTTTAATTCACAGTACTTTGTGAAAACAAAGGTATGCAGTCTTGATTTAAACATAGTATACATGTAAGAGTTATACTTCTGCAGTTAGCCAACTACAGAGACACAAAATAATTCATTTAAAGCTGAATCTCATACCGGTGCACTGTGCTTTACAGCTGAGACAATTTCTCATTAAATTATGGACCACATTGTTCTGTAATAGAGCAAGGAATTGAATTTAGATATGACCAATATCAAATTAGCTCAATAACCATTTGCCCCCCACCTGCTCCCACCTAGAAAGAAAGAAAATGCTCTCCTCTGAGAAGGAGACTGTGCATGCATGTGTGCTGGTGCAAACCTTCAGCTGCTGCTTTCTATTCAGACTTGAGCACACAGCATAGCAGAGAGCTCTTTATGAATGCCTTCATAAATGTATTACAAGTTGGAATTTTATAATAAACCTGATTTAAGAAATTTGATGAAATAATAGTTTTCGATAACTCTGCATCTTCCTTCTTTAAGACACTGAGACAGATATAGCAAAGAGCAGGTATTTTCTAAAGCTTAGTTCATTAAGATTGTAGGTGGTCCTGGTTGGCCAGTCCTTATTAATTTCAGCAATGACATTTAGGGTCAAGGGATCATGAAACAGCTGGTCTGTATTACTTTGACCTAATCTCAGGTGATGTGGTGCAGGAAATGGTTAATTATATTTTTTCARTGACTCACATATTTAATATTAGGGTGATCTTTGCATTGTAGACCCTTGCAGCTGTTTCTCATCATAAGGTTCCTTCTCTCTATTCACCACAATAGTTAAATATATTCAGTTAAGTTTCGTAAATTATGTGAGTCCTCAAACAACAGCATGATGTCTGAGAGTAAGCAAATACAAAACATACAGGTACAAAGCTCTACTGTAGGCTCTAGGGACCTTGAAGGAAAAAGAAAGAAGCAAATTATCAGAAAACATTGTTATCTTATTTCCATCAACCCCAATCACACACACACACACACACCCCCGCCCCCAGGGTTTCAATTAAAGTTTAGAATACGTTTCCTTTTTAAGCATTTTGCAAGAGACAAACCATACAAACCAGGAACTGAAAATATCAGCTATTAATATAAAAATTTGAAGTACATTTAGTGTATAGCACCTCATTAAATTGAGTCAGTAGTTGGTAGGTTATGTAGGTACTTTCSAAGGAAAAATCATCTGTTTTTCCACAAGCCAAAATAATTCATTGTGGATTGCCTTATATTATATTCATTACAAATATTTAAGTTAATTCAAGAGGATATGAAAAGTGTGGGGAGGCTGGGAACTTGAATTTTATGTT